TTCCTTCCTTCCTTCCTTCCTTCCTTCCTTCCTTCCTTCCTTCCTTCTTTCCTTCCTTCCTTCCTTCCTTTCTAAATGATGCCAGTTCTTGCAAAACATTCTTTTGTGACTTGTGATCTAGTCCCCTCTCCATCCAGGTTTTCCTTCTCTGGATACATCCTGCTTGACAATGTCTTTGCAAAAATATACTACCCTAAACTAAAAGCAGTATTCTAGATGTGGTTGTCTGTCCAGGGCAAAGTATCACATTATTATCTATTCCTTTGCTAGAAAGTTATGAAGCCGACAGTAGTGTTTTTGGCCTGTGGTCACATCAGATCCAGAGTTCTCTTTCAAACAAATGGCTTTCTAGGCAAGCCTTACCCATCTTCTGTTTTGAAGCTTATTTTTAAAAGTGTAAGACATTTCATTTAATTAGTGCAGGGAGTCCAATGATTCTTAAATTATTTCTCATCAATCTGTTTTCCATATCAGTTCTTTTAGGGGGTGGTGATAGCAGATGTCTTATATGTTCTTCTCATTTTTCAGTCTTTTGACTTTGTCCTATCATTTCTTGTCTCATGGAATCATTGAATATGGTTTGCTCCCTTCTGTTTTCCAAGGCTTCTACTTCTTGGGTAATATTTTTATTTTCTGTTTTGTTATTCATTTTCCTTTCATTTTTTTCCTTCTACACTTTCATTTTTTAAAATTAAATTTAGGTTTTTTTTTTAATTTCTTGCATCATTTCTATAATCAGCTCTTGGGATTCTTATGCCCAAGCATTTCTTTTTTTTCCCCTAAGGCTCTACTTGAACATATTATGGAGTTATTCCTCTCTTCTTTTCTTTGTATATATTTGGCTTTTCTTAACTCAGAATTTTTTCCACTATATTTGGAGTTTTCTTCTGTTTAATTATATGTATAGCCCCAGTTCCTGGAATGGGACTTTAGGCCAGAGCTAGATTCTATTGCCCCTCAGAGCATTGGAAGGGATGGGCAGGCCCTACTTGGTCCTGAATGTATTCTGTATGCCCTTGCAGCTCTGACATGGGAGGCTGGGATAAGATACTACCCTCTGCCACAACCCCTGGATTCTGCTTCCATTTCCTTATGGCTCAACATTGGTGCTAATCTTGGCACCATCTCTGTTTCTTTTTTCTTGCACAATTCCAAAATGAGAATTTGTGCCATCCTATACTAGGATGAATGTTGGAGATTCCGGTACTTTCAGATCTACTGGAAAGCCCTCTGATGTGTGGACTACCCTGTGCTCTACTCCTTGTGTCTTGCAAAGGCTCCAGCATTGGTAATAGTGGCCAAATTCTTGCTTACAGTGCCAGCTCTGTCTGTTTTCACTGGCTTATCAGTGGCTGGTTCTGTCCCCACTGTTGCTAGAACATTGCAAGCCTAAGATCCTTTAAACTTCAAGCCCTGTATACCAGATCCCATGCTGACTTTTGCCTCTCCTGATAAATCTCATCTCTGAGCATCTACATAATTCTGTCCAGCTTCTTATAGTCACAGACTAGATGGAAGTCCTTACTGATATTTCTCTTTATCTTTCTTATTGGTCATTGTTCCATCTGGTGACCGTTTTGATTATTGCTGGGGGCTTTCTGGGGAAACCTAGGCTCCACTAGGATGTTTCATGCCATGTCACCATTTTACCCTATCTTGGGTAAAATTTCCCAGAAGGAGTCAATGAGATCTCTACCATCTCTTCTACCATATATAAGGATCAAATGGAATTACAAAAATGGAAAGGGATTTGAAAGTTGAATGCACTACACAAATGTAAAATGACAATGATGAGGATGAGGATGATAAATGATAGTGTCAGAACACTGAATAGCAATCACAAGACTGAGTTCTGTTCGTGGCTCTTTTTATTCCTATCACAATGTTACTACCATCACCAGTATTAAATCCCAAGCAGTATCTTTAGCACAGTCTTAATTTCAGAACCTTCACAATTCTGAGATTGCTTTATTACATTGTGTAAAATGTACATAATAGATGCTTAGTAAATGTT